AATACCCATCTCTGACAGGACTGAACTGGAGAGGGGGGATACAGAGGAAGGACCATCTTGTATTGTATATACAGAATAGCTAGGATAGATTCACTGCTGCTTTCGCTTGGTTCAGTGAGAGGAAGAATTTGTAGCAGTAGTGTTTGGGCGGGATGTCCTGGCTGCTTCTTGGGCTGTGGATGACCGCTGAGAAGATAACAATGTGCAATGTATTAATTATTGAAAATGTCCTATTAATCAGCTTGGAAAGTGTCTCATTGATATTTGTTTCTCAATAAAATTAAAAAAATAAAAAAAATTTAAAAAAGAATTCCACTTTGCCCGGTATCTCTCAGTATAGATGAGCAATATTTAAAATATGTGGGCTTATAAACCTGGGCTCTAGTCTGGGCCTTTAATTGTTGAATTGTCTGTTCTCACATTTGTCAAACTAAGGCATCTAGACTGGTAGCCAAGCTGTTTTGGTATCCAAATACGTGCTGCTAAGCCCAGCATCCCAGAAGCGACCAGCTGAGCGACCATCGGATCACAAAATTACCCGCTCAAAACCAAAACTACTCCAGCGCGCGCCGGCGCACGCCCCAGCGCGCGCACCCCGCCCCCTACAGCTTCCCGGCTTCCTCTCCGCCCGAAGCAGAAAAGAAGTGCGGCCTCAGAAGCCGCCCAGCGTTTCCGGGAGGAGTTTTGGGCCCCGCGAGGCCCCATCGGGCTCCCACCAGTCGCTCCGGAGGTAGCTGTGGAGAGGCCCGGACCGCGTGGCTGAGTGGGTGCGGAGACTCTGGCGCAGCATCAGCATGGGCGAACATGGCCTGGAACTGGCCTCCATGATCCCCGCTCTGCGGGAGTTGGGCAGGTAGGGCCAGTCCCCGGGTCTTGGGTCCCAAGTCATCTTCCAACGCCGGGGGCGGTTCCTGCCCCTCCCCCAGCCCAGTGGAATTCGCGCGCTTCGGAGCGGCGGAGAGCTAGAGCGCGGGCCGTCACGGACCCGGGAGGGGCTGCCCCGCAGGGAGCTGCCTGCCAGCCCCGCCTCACCGAGCGCGCGGGAGCTCGCTCCGAGCTGGAGGTTTTGCCTCGTGCGGAGAAGCTGTTCTGTTCCCTTTCTGTCCCCTCTGTGCCCTCAGTCGCCTCCAGAAAGCCTGATTCCTCAGATTCAAGGCAGTTTCTATGTGCATGGCTCACGTTTTATCCCAACACTGCCCATGCGGGGAGAAAACAGCTCATTTTTTAGGGAAGGGCCTACAGGGTGTTCAGGGTCTCACTACTAGATTGGACTCACAGTGTTTCGCCTGTTTACAGCCTCCCAAGAGCTGGGATTACAGGCCTGTGCCACCACTCCCAGTCTCTAATTTCTCTTTGACATGAAGTTTTGTTTTGTTCTAATAAAAAAATTCCAGAACAATACTGTAGGAAGGTGACAATGATTAGTACATTGCCTGTTGTTATCTTTAGTTTCTCAGTACTAGATATCGGCATATTTAGTTGTCCAAACAGTATTATCACAAACTTTTTTCTTTTTAGTGAATTAAGAGAAGGCTCGGGAGATGAGCTCAGCAGTGTAATAGACTGCCTAGCAAGTGCAGGGTCCT